TATATATATATATCCTGGGTGAATGAATAAACCAAATGAATAAATTGTCACCTGTTTTCGGGGGGTTCCTCTTCACTTTCATCCAGTCAAATGTCTGCCCCTGTCCCGCCTGCTGGTTCTCCTCATCCTCCCTCCCTCGCTCCTGGGACCCCGGCAGCTCTCCGTACCCTCCTGCCTGTGGGAAGCCCAGGTAGCCCACCGCTTCCAGGCCTCCGCCGACCTGCTGCGGGTACTGGGAGCTACCCAGAGGGCCCTGAGGCCCGCAGTAAGCCCCGGAAAGGGCGCTGTAGCTGGGGCCGACCGCTGGGGTCGGCGTGGGGAAGGCTGATTGATGGTAGTAGCTGGAGGCAGCGGACTCCTCCATAAAATACTGAGGCTGGATGGAAGTTGAAGGACCCGTAACGGCTACATACTCTGAGTTTGTAGCACCAGCCTGGCCTGCATAGGCCCCGGAGGAGCACCCACTGCCGTTAGTATACTGTGTCAATAATCCACCCTGCGCGCTTTGGTGCTGGTGATGATGGAAGCCATTGTGCGCGTGTTGATGCTCGACATGATTTATTGGATGCTGATGATGATGGTGGTGGAGGTTCACCCCTCTGGATGGTGGTGTCCCTCCAATGTCCGCCGCGGTGTTCCCATACATCCCTCCATCTGCGCCGTAGCCGCTGTCACCTCCCGTCCCGTTCACCGGGACAGAGGAGCCGCTGAGGCCCGTGTGGAGGGAGCCGGGGGTCACCGTGAGTCCATGGTGCTGGTCCAGAGGGAGGTGGTGGTGCAGGTTAGGAGGTTGGTATCCAGGTTTAGGGGCAGAGTAAGCACTGCTGCCAGCTCGGTTACAGATGGAGTATTCCACAAAGGAGTTCATGTTGTCCATGAACATATAAAGTTCTTCTGACTTCTCAGAAACACAGGACCACAAAAATATATTATGAAAAAACTGAAGGAATCAAATTAGTTAAAGAAAATGATTTCATATGGAGACATTCAGAGGAAGATCTGGAATAAATGACTGGAGGAAAGTGACCAAATGAGTTCAAATAGACCAACGGGACAATGTAGGTTTATAAAAACAATCCCACTGGGATGAAAAAGTGAAACTGGCCCGTCCTGAACAACAGAAACACTCATGAATCATGTCATCCGCGGAGCTGTGAGTCAGGCAGCTGATGCGTTAACGGAGGCCCCGCTGTCACTCAGCCCGCAACTTCCAGAAGCTCCTCTGTGCCACCGCAGAACCACGCGAGAAGACGCGTCCCTCACTTCTGCGCCATTCTGTCCCCTTTTCCTGCAGCTCCTCCGCTTCTCCTCTTCCTGCTTCACTCTTCTTTGTTTTACTTGTTTTCCACTTCTTTTCTTCTCCTCTACCTCAGTCGCGGGTCACGTGACATGTCGCCTATGGTGTCCAGGGCAGCAGTTGTCAGCTGGCCACAGGAGAGTGTGTGTTTGCGGGTGTGTGTGTTGGGGGGGTACAGGAGGTGTTTTTTTTCGGTTCAGAAGAAGTGGAGCTGCCGTGCGCGCGCGCGCGTTGGCTCTGGCGCACATGCCTCATCCATCACTCTCCGTGACATTAGCACGACAAAGAGGCTTCAATCAAACCGGCCCATCAATCTGATATCAGCGCGGATCTGTCAGAGCAAAGAGAGGGCCGCTGAATAAAAGAGGAGCTGTGAGCCGGTCTGCAGACCTCCTCCCAGCGAAAAGCTCCCACAACATCTGAGAAACCTAATAAAAAAAAAGGACAAACTACAGTATTCCACTCAGCAGACACAGGCTGAGGGATTCCTCAAAGTTTATGATTTGTTCCGATAATAGAGCACACTCTATGAAGTGTAGTTCTATAATAATCTAAATGCCAAAGGTTTGTTCACTAAAATGTTGCAATGGAGATTAAACTAATGGCTGAAACTGAACAGGAAGCCACGGATGCAGCTACTGAAGGTGAATAAAAGGGTAAATAACAGGCTTAAAATCCAACTTTACAATAAAAAAACACACCTAGAGTCAAATCTGCGCTCATAAAAATCAAACATTAACTTTAGTTTAAATATCTTTGTTAACAGGTTCCACAAAAGTGTTTCTATGTTAGTTAAATGCAAAAAAGTTGATCTAACTTTAAGTTAACACAATGTGAATTGACCCAATTAGATACAATAAATTATGAACAAGGGATATTTACCTCTTACACCCTCAGGGGGTATAAATAAATTTCTGCCTGACAAAAACACACAAAAGTAAAT